TTTTTTTTTTTTTTTTTTTTCTGTATTTTCATATCAGATGTGCATGAGGCGCAAGAGGCGTACACCTCTTACACCCGAGGCGTACGCCTCAGAGGTGTCAGCGCCTCTGGCATACGCCTCGGGGCGTTTTGGGAGCGCCTTGCCTGGAGGCACGCCTCCAGGCGTACGCCTCCCACGCCTTTTAAAACACTATGTGAGAGTGGGAGAACCTACAATGAAGAAGAAAGAGAAAATAATTTAAATCCTTTATTTTCCGTTTCCTTCTTTTTTTGGTGGTGGTGGGGTGGAGTCATGGAGGGTTGGGATAACTGTGCACTAGGGCTGCATCTATATGCAGTACAACTAATTTACATTATCACTTGTTTTGTTTTACTATTATTTTTGCACAATTTAATTCACATTCCTTATAATCAGCCCCTGCCCACTAGTTTTTACTTATTTTGGGAAAAAATGGACAAGAATGTTTATTATAAAATTATTGCCATGTGCCTCGTTAGAATGAAAAATGGGTCTTCCCCTGCTGCACAAAAAATAATCTGTAGGAGGCTGCCATTCTCATTTTCTTCAACTTCGACTCTCTCAGTTTCTCTGGATATTCACTGTGGTTCTCTCTTTATCAAAACATCGGTTCTTGATGTTCTCTTCCACCTGTGATCTCTGATCTATGTAGGTCTTTCTCTCTCTCTCTCTCTCTCACCCGCGCTTCATAGAGTAAACCGAGAGACCACGTTTTTTCTCTCTATAACGTCCGCTCTTTCTCCCTAAAATCACTCTCTCCTATTAACTTCTCTGCTGCCACACAGGAGAGGATCTATAGAAGTTGAAGCGATTACAGAGAGAATGCTCGGAGCTCTCTTTTGCATTTGTTTCATTGATTCTATGGTTTTTGTTTTTTGAATTTAGTAGAAAGAGAGTGTTGGTTTGAAGTTGTTTCGTCTGATTATTGACCGGAGACGTAGAATCGACTGGGAAACTTTCAGTTTTGGAGTGAAAATTCTGTAGAGGATTGGAAGTTGAGGTCTGAGTTTGGTGGCATGGATCTCGAATATGCTTCTCAGAGTCAGGAATCTATTTTGGATGGGTTTAGTTTCTTTGCGTGTTTGTTGAATTTCAGTTGAATGTGGACTGTCATGTTGGTTGGTATTTTAGGGTTTTGGATTCCAATGGACTTTTGATGTTGATTTTTTATGAGTTATAGTTATTTGGTTTTGAAGTATAAAGGAATTAGTCTATATTTCTACTAAAAAAATTCAGTTTTCTGCGTTTCTGCTGAGTATATTAGGATTTAGAGTAATGCCACTGTTATTGGATTACTCTTGAGTTTATGGGAACCCAGCTTGCTTCAAGTTGGAAAGGAGATTCGTGGTCTTTTTTAGTTTTCAAAAAAAAAAAAAAAGATTCATGGTCTTTTTTGAAAAATGGATTCGAGTCAAACATACATGTGGGACATGTGGGAAGTGCACTTTTGACTATGTATTCAAGGTGTGGTTGCTTGAGTTCTGCTTATAGGGATTTTAATAGTTGATCTCAGCCTGATTTGGTTCAATGATCTACTCTGACAACTGGATTCATTCATTCTGGAACTTGTGAAGAAGCCCTGTTCTTGTTCAGGGAAATGAATCTCAAGGGTCAAAAAGCAGATGCTATTTCAATTGCTTGTAGAAGCTGTTGTCTAAAAACTAAGGCAGTATTGGGTACTGTATCAAGGGAAGGTTTCTGGTGTTCCCAGGTACAAGAAACATTCCCTTGGAATGTTACCAAATGGTTCCTAATAGACCTTAATTTTGCATCCCCCATGTAAGGATTTTGAAGGTCCCTTTGCTAAATGAGGATTTACCCTTCGTCTGAACAGTCTAACATGTTTTATGCAGCTAATCAAATATGTTTTCAAGAGTTAAAAATTTCATCTTCTGTCCCACGTTATTTGGAGTTGATACTGAGACAGTTGTCTTTCACAACTTTTATACGTATTTACATTAAAATTGGAGAAATCTATTCATTTTAGGTCCTGGTGATGCTGATTCAGCAAATACACTATATGAGTCAATATTGTAGTATTGGGCTTAAGCCATTTTGATACAAAATCAGATATTTATGTTTAATCGTTCGAACAGTAAAGGGAAGTTAAAATTTGCCAGCATAAAGGACATTTATGCTAAGTTTCCACTCATCTCCTCTACTCTGTATATTTATTTTTTTATTTATTTTGAAGAAAGGTTAACATCCACTGTATAGTTAAGTACACTATCAGATAATCTCAGTGTTCAGATAGTATTTGGAAAGTATAAGAACCATTCCAGAAAGATACTGCCAAGATTCAATTTCCATTTGTGAACCCTTATCCAGTGTCCTTTCTGTGGAGTTACTCTTTAGAAGCCTAGATTTCTTGTTATTAGTTTCAAAAGTTAAACCATTTGATGTTGCAGGTTTCATCTTCAGCATGGAGATTTGCCCAAGGATCTCATTTGAAAACTCCATAGGTTCTCCTTGAGGATTCATGTATTATGAAATGGCAAAACAGGATTCGTGTAACTGAGCTCAGATGATGATGATGATGATGGATGGGTTCTCCTTGAGGACTTCAATACAAGGTGATCCACAACTTTGCTCCCAAGTACTTGTAAAGATAATATCCTAAACCCCATCAATTTATGAGCTGATAAAAAAAAGCCCCATCAATTTATGAAGGATTTTTCGAAGTCTTTTGTGGATATTTTRGCTGAAGAACATACCTGACTTCAAGAGGTTAATTTTTTGCCCCAATAATTGCTCAAAGTTTCCTAACACTTCCTTTAGATCTTTAACTTGCTCCACATCTGCTTTACAAAATAACATACAATCATCTACAAAAAGTAGATGAGAAATCTGAACTCCATGCCTATGAAAAGAAAATCCTTGTACTTTCCCATTTCCCTCTTCCTTCTCCAGCAGTAGAGATAAAACTTGCATCTCAAAAGTAAATAGATATGGAAACAGTGGGTCACCTTGTCTTAATCATTTCTTAACTTGAAAAAAACTCCTTCACTGTTCCATTTAACTTGACAGAGAAGAAAGGGGGTGAGATGCAAAAGTTTGCAATGTCAAACCATTTCTCGGGGAACTCCATGTTCCACATGACCTTAACAATGAAGTCCCTTCTCATAATAAAATATAAACGGTTTAATTATCAAAAAAAAAAAAAAAACAATGAAGTCCCTTCTCATTCTATTGTAGGCACTTGACATATCCAATTTTAGAGCTATCCAACCCTTCCCCTTTTTTTTCTGTTTTTTCACTTTGTGGAAAATTTCCCTTACAATAATTACATTTTCAATCCTTCCTTTTATAAAAGCCGCTTGGTTTGGGGATATTAATTTTGGAACTATTTTCTGTAATTTCTTCACCATGCATTTCTCTATAATCTTGTATAAAACATTACACAAACTTATAGATCTGAACTGAGTAAAATTATGGGGATTTTTACACTAGATTTGTGCAATTTATTTCTTCCTTGAAGGTTGCACTTGTAAAAAATTCTACACTAGTTTGCACACATCTTCCCTTACTACAGCCCAATATTTTTGGTAAAAGAGAGTTGTGATCCCATCCGGGTCGGGGCAGAATGTGGTTTTAAACTTTTAACCACCTCCCAAATTTCTTCTTCAGTGGGTATCTCATCCAATTTCTTTATATATCATCCTCATCTATCTTGGGTATTCTCAAAATCTTCCATTCCAAACATCTCCATGCTGGTACCAATATCATCACTTACTTGGATTGTATTCTCCTTAAACTTCTTTGCAATCTCTTCTAGCTTCATTCATTCTTCTTGATCATTTTTCATCATGCTCAAATGATTCGTTCTTCTGTTAAAGTTGGTGACTTGGTGAAAAAACCTTGTATTTCTACCCCTTCATGTAACCAAGTCTCCCTTGATTTATCTCTCCACAGTTGCTCCTCCTCTCTCTTAACTCATATCGTTGTTTCAATTTCATTACTCTCCCTTTTGAATATGGCAGTTGCTCCCCTTGTAATAAGATCTGTAAGCTCTCTTCAATTGCCTTCAATTTGTCTTGCAAACCAAATTTCTCCTTGTTCCATTGTCATAACTTTTTTTTACATCCCTTTAGCTTGTGCAAGATCTGAATATCTCTTTCCCCTTCTTTCTCTTTGTCATTCCTCCTTCACTATTGCTCCACACTCTTCTTCCTCCACCCACATAGGCATAAAATGGAATTGTTTAGGTCCCAATTGTAACTTGGGGATTTGTTTGAAGCAACGTGTAAGTGTGGTCACAGTACAGGGATCTAGTCATTGTGATTATTATTTCTGGGAAGTCTTCTACCCACCCAATTGTAGCTAAACCCCTATCTAATTTCTCCTGAACTAGACCATTTCCCTGCTGTTCATTGGACCAGGTAAAAGCTTCCCCCCCTACTGCTGATCTATTGTAGCCTATTTTCCCAAACAAATCTCTGAAATGCCTTGGAGACATACACCCTTCTATCATTTTTCCAAGTGCAAAACAGACCCCTAGAAAAACCCTTAGCAGAAACCCAGGTTCTCTTCCTATACCTCAATTTTTTAAATAATGATACATTTTGGCTTCGAAAAGTCAAGCTTCCGCTAGGAATATTAGATCTGTGTCATGGGATTTGCACAATTCTTTTGAGAAAATGTATTTTATTTGGATTATTACACCCTCTTATGTTCCAGAAAAGGAATTTCATAGTTTTCCAAACATGAAAACACACAACTAGGCTAAACATGATGCATATATTACAGAGGAAGAGAACAAAATGACTAACTTGTAACTGAAATACTTGAAGTTGGTTGTGAGAGGTTAATTCAATAAGAGGTGATGGCTGAGAGATTATCAGAGGTAGATCCCACTTTTTTCCTTCCAAATGATCTATTGGTAACTGTGGCAGCATGGTTTTCCCAATGAATTTTGGCTCGTCCACTAGCATTATAGATTCCCGAGTTGCATAGCTCTTCCACCACATGAGTTCATGTTTGTGCCCCATCAATAGCTGCCCTTGAGGTGACATCTCCATTGCTACTTCCTTGACAAACTTTCCATTAGAGTCCAAAAAACCTTAGATCTGGTCCCATCCTTAGACAGAGCCTGAAGGCTTGACAGAGTCAAGACAATTAGGTCCCTCGTATCCAGGTCCAGAACAGTTTTTCTGGGTCACCCTATTTTCCTCCGACCTAAAACTGGATCATAATAACTTAAGACCCCAGTTTTTGTGATGTATATAACCCAAATGCACTCTTTGCATGTGTTCAAATATGGACACGTGCACTTCTTCTCAGTTGCATGTGTGAGGTGTGTCTTATTGCCCTCATCACGTGTAGAGTATTTCATACCACCTGTAGATTACATCCTTTTTCTGGACTTGTGAGTTGACTCCTCTGATCTCTGTTGAATCACTCCTACTTGACTCAGATTCTGCCCTGATCGCAACCAAGTCATCGCTGAGTTTCCATCAACACACCAATGTTTTGATTCTCATTCTTCCAAAAGGGACCTTTACTTGTGCTTCCTTTTTAAAATCCCTCACTGCCAATCCTAACTCCTGAGTGTTTCCAGTTAAAGAAGTTTGGATAGGACCTATTCCCCCCAAAATTGCTATTTTTTTTCTGGGAAGTATTCTATAGGAAAATCAACACTTTGGAAAGCTTGCAAAAGAAGAGACATTTTCTTTGCCTCTCCCCTAATTGGTGCTTCATGTGTAAGGCCCAGAATGAGAATTATTACCATCTACTGATTTCTTGCTCCTTGCTGCAGCCTTATGGAGTTGGAGCTTTAGTTTATTTGGAATTTGTATGTAGGTGGAACCCACCGTCTGATGTAAGTATGCTGTTTAATCCATCTACTTTTGGGTGGCACACGAATAGAGATAAAATCATGCGGAAGTGTATCAGGGCAGCTATATTATGGACTGCTTGGGAGGAAAGGAATACTAGAACTTTCCTAGAAAAGGAAAGAGGTTTTGCTAAAGTGAAGGATTGTATCTTAACTAGAGTAATCCATTGGCTGAAGACATTGGACCTGTTTGCTGAATTCTCATTCGATGATCTTTGGAGGAATTGGCCAGAAGTGGCTAATACCTCCACCAGGAATAATAGAAGGGTGGTAGAGTGGGAACCTCCTCCAGAAGGTGTCATACTGTCATTAAATTGAACTTTGATGGGAGCAGCCAAGGTAACCCTGGGCTTTCGGGGGTAGGGGATGTGCTAGGGAATAAGGACAGCAACATTATTTCCTTGTTCTCAGGACCGGTGGGAGTTGGAAACTCCACAAGCTGAGTTACTAGCTGCCATTCAAGGGATCCATCTTGCCAACCAACTTGGGATGGAACATCTTTTAATTGAAGGAGATTCTCAAGTAGTAGTAGGATGGCTGTCAAATCCGGATACTACTAGGGGTGTCCAAGGTTCGGTTAACCGAACCATGGCACTTTTTTGTAAACCGAACTGGTGGTACCGGTTTTTCCAGTTCTCCAAACCGAAACTGAACCGGTACCACCAGTTAACCAGTCCGTTAGTTTCGGTTTTTGACCGGTTTGGTTCTTCGATTTTTCGGTTTTTTATATTTATAATATATATTATACAAATATATGTATAATATTATATAATAAATAATAAATGATATATAAAATATTATAAATATTTGAAAAATATATAATATTTTTATAAATAGATCATTATAAATATAATATAAGTATATATTTGTATATATATAATGAATATATATTTATATATAATACATAGAAAATATGTGACATATATTAAAAATATATATAAAATATACATAAAAATATAAATACGGTCGGTTCGGTTAACTGTCGGTTTTTTTGTAGGTTAACTGAAAACCGAACTGGTCCTTCGGTTTTTCAAAAATCTTGAACCGAAACTGAACCGATCGGTTCGGTTCGGTTTTTCAGTTTTTCGGTTTTTTATGGACACCCCTAGATACTACTATTTGGGGCTATAAAGACCTCCTCAAGGGGTATCTAGGGAAGGTCTTTTTTGGGTAAGCAGATCGACAAATACTGTGGCTGACTCCTTGGCCAAGCAAGGGGTATCTAGGGAAGGTCTTTTCTGGGCTAGTTTGTAACTTGTTCTAGTAAGTCTGGACTCTGGAAAGCTGTATCTAACTTTTTTGGAGAGGTCGCATCTCGTGCCTCTCCTTGGGATGCTTGTACTCCTTATCTTTGGTGATTTATAAAATTCATTCATTTATCAAAAAAAAATGTTTTGATTCTCATTCTTTGTCTTCTGAATCTTCATCAAATCCGTTATCACTCATACGGATCATCTGCAACCTACATGGCTCCTCCACTCCTTTGTATTGAGGGATTCTCAATGGTTTATTGGATCTATACTCTGCATGTAACCAGTCACCAGGAATATCCATCTCTCTGTTATCCATTTTCTTCTTTTTCTCATCTAGGTTGGTTACTGTCCTCGTACACTTCATCCAATTGTGTCCAAGAAGGCCATAATAAAGCGCAAAGCTCCGGCAGAGATTCATAGCAATATCTAACCCAGACATGCTTCCCATTGACTTTGACAAATAGTCCTCTGAATAGATCGTAATGCATATCTACCAACACTTGAATTCGTATCTGCCGGTTCCTCATATCTCCCTGGCTGAATAGAAGGTTGATCCTTTACCACTTCCCTTGCTGCCATTGCTAAAGAAACAGGGTTAATTTTCCTATTCCGTTAATGACACTTGTAAAAGTTTGGGATGGTATCTACAACTTTCAATAGTCTAGGTAGTAAAGTGACACACCCCCTATAGTTTGGGAGGGTTTTTGAAGTTTACCCAAATTTTTTCCATTTGTAAAATTAGTTATGTTTCAGCATATTTTTATGGTAAAACTTGTTTTTGTTTCATCAAGTTTGATCATTTTTTATTTATTTGTTTATGTATTATGTATTTTGGATACTCTATTATTGTACTTGGTAAGACTTATTTGGTTGATATCTTTGCTCAATAATTTTTTTTTCTATTGTAGAGCCGTTGCAGTGCTCACCGGCTTCCAGTGCTCCACCAGTATCTGCAGGTAACGGCTTTTCTTCTTCTTTCTTCTTCTCTCCATTTGTTTCCCGCTGCCATCTTTGGGTGAAGATGGTTATCTGTTTGAATTTGAGCTCTCAATCAGCCAATTTGGTTTGGTCCAACCATAATGCAGGGAGCAGCACCTTATGGAGTGCCTCTTATGGTGTTTTCATGTACACAGACACTTCTAGGTGATCTAGCTGGGCCTACAGATTTGAGCTAGAGTGGATAATAGCTCTTGCACTATAAAAAAAAAGGCTTTTACACTTGGCTGCATCCATCGCAGATGTTTGGGTAAATATACTCTCCTCTGGGTTTGTTTTCTTGATTGATTACAGACTATTGCATCCCATTTATAATACCACACTCTTAATGACAGTGACAGCTGCATTTGTGCATCCACATGATTACAGTAGTCAGAGAGGGGTAATGCTAGATAACCATGAGGGGTAATTTTCCTTTGGGTGCTGTCTAGATTTGAGCAAAGGCAAAGAAAAAGTAACTGATTCCAAGTTCCAAGATGATAAGATGGCCAAGGTATCTCACAGCAACGCAACTATCTCAGCTCATCCGGAAACAGAAGAACCCATTAACAGCTCTCCAAATCTTCAATGAAGCCAAAACCAGACACCCCAACTACAGACACAATGGTCCTGTCTATGCAGCCATGATCAATATCCTTGGAAGCTCAGGCTACCTCACTGAGATGAAAGGTGTGATTGAACAGATGAAAGAAGACTCGTGTGAAAGCAAAGATTCAGTATTTGCAGATGCAATTAAGACTTATGCTCAGGCAGGCTTGCTCAATGAAGCTGTCTCCCTATTCAGAAGCCTTAGACAGTTCAATTGTGTAAATTGGACACAGTCTTTCAATGCCCTTTTGCAGATACTGATAAAAGAAGCCAAGTTTGATACTGCTTGTCGTCTTTACTTGGAGTATTCAAATGTGTGGGAAGTAAGGACCCAAACTAGTTCCTTGAAATTGCTTATTGATGCTCTGTGTCAGATGAAGTGTTCAGATCTAGCTCTGCTGGTATTCCAAGAGATGAGTGATCAATGTTGCTACCCGGACAGAGAGACGTATCAGGTGCTAATGAGAGGGTTGTGTGAAGATGGGAGGCTGAATGAGGCAATCCATTTATTGTATTCCATGTTTTGGAGGATTTCACAGAAAGGAAGTGGTAAGGATGTGCTCATTTACAGAACACTTTTAGATTCTTTATGTGATAATGGACAAGTTGAAGAGGCTGTGAAAATTCTTGGTAAGGTCTTGAGGAAAGGCTTCAAGGCTCCTAAGCGGTGCCACCAGGGTCTGGACCTAAATTATTTTCTTGCAAGTGAAAGCTTAGAAAGAGCCAAGGGTCTGATCAATGAGACTCTGCTAAGAGGTGGAATTCCTAGTTTGGCTAGCTACAGTTCTATGGCCATTGATCTTTATTCTGAAGGAAAGATCCATGATTCTAATTGGGTGTTTGCTGAAATGCAAGAGAAGGGCTTTAGGCCATCAGTTTCCATGTATGAATCAAAAATTGCTGCATTGTGTAGAGAGGAGAGATCTGTTGAAGCTGTTAAGGTGATTGAAGAGGAGATGATGAAGGGGAATTGTGTTCCAACAGTTGCAACATACAATATTCTGCTGAAAGGCCTCTGTAACGAAGGAAAGTCGGTGATGGCTATTGGTTACTTGGATAAGATGGCTAGGCAGGTGGGTTGCGTTGCTAACAAGCAGACATATGACATTTTAGTGGATGGGTTGTGTTGTGATGGTTGGTATGTTGAAGCAAGCCGAGTTTTAGAGAGGATGTTGGACATGAAATATTCGCCTTCTAATGCCACCCTTTTTACTAAGCTCATCAGAGGGCTTTGTTTTGTGGGTAGAAGATACGAGGCTGTGCTGTGGCTGGAGGAAATGGTTAGCCAAGGTAAAACACCAGAGGTTTCTGTGTGGAACTCATTGGTCAGTGCTGTTTGTGGTGACATGGCCAAGGTAGATTCTAATGTTGATAAACTTTGGCAACTTACTGACTCTTCATAGATTTTATTACATGGGAAGACAGTTGTTAGACAATGTGCTAGATATGGAACTTACACTAAAATTGAAATATCCGGCATGATATGGCACCAAAGGGGTACTTATGGCAGGTAGTCTAGACTCTAGAGTAGTTGACACTTGACAGCTAGTCTAAAGTAAGTAGTAAAGGGGTGTACTTGTGGCATATATGAGGCGGGCTAGCCTACATCTCATGGATATGATACTAATGGTGCCAGGCTCAAGAATTATGGCAAATGAATCCGATATATGGCCTTCAATTTTGGACAGATTTCTAACAATGCTGGAGCATTCTGGTCAATTGTAGTAATGGGGCACTCCTGGAAATGGCAGTGTAAGAGAGTCTTTGAAGGTATTGGTTTTCACCGTCAAATGTAATTGCTACTGCCAATGCGTGCCTAGCTGAATTAATAAGCCAAATCCCAAATGCCGACCTGGTTTTGAGTGATGGGTCGAGCCACAACCAAGGACTCTGGTACCTAGATCGCAGCCTCCAACTGGTGGGTACCTTAAAATAAATATAGATGGGTCCTCTTCTTTTGACAAGGCGGGTGCTGGTACTGTCATCAGAGACTCCTATGGAAATTTTGTGTTTGGTAGAGATGCTAAACTGCCTTTGGTCTTGTGCTAAGTAGCCGAAACCTTTGCCTAGCTCTATGCACTGAGATTTTCTTTAGAGATTGATTTATCTCGTATCCTTATTGAAAGCCTGCCTTTACTGATTGTGCACTCTCGGTTATTCATAGATGCTCAAATTGCGTAACACACAGTATTGCGAATTTGCTTGCTCTGTACAAAGCATCTATACTTGGTCATCTGAACCTTCTTCTTCATGATCTCGTTGTAACAGACTTCTTAATTTAATAGATGCTTTGTTTTTAGAAAAAATAATACTTTCTATTGTACATTTGTACTTGGTAAGACACTGCTACTATAACATAAATATTTTATCCACTAAAATGGCCTGTAAGTTTTGGAATACTTGACTAATACTGTACTGACCTGGTTAAACCATAAAGCAGGTGTGCGAATAGTAACGTACTGTTGGTTTGTGTACATAGAACAGAAGGGAAACAAAAGGTTTTTTTTTTTTTTTTTTTTGGAAAACCGATATCCAATATAAAAATGAACTATTTTCCTAGTTTTTCTAGAGTTTGGCTTGGGAAATAAACCCGAATGGCTGAACGGTTTGAGAAATACGAGTGTCGGCAAGATTCGACTCCAGCAGACCGACTCTCTTTTAATGACTTATCGGAAGATCACAAGGAATTTCTTTTTCCTACAACTACTACGAAAACTTTAAGAACACATTAATTTCTGTTTCTGTTGAAATATTTGTTTTTCTTCATTTTGTTTCTGCAATTGGACTGAACCTTGGAAAAGTTCAAATAAAATTTTCAAAAGGTATAAGACAGGCAGCCTACCATTCAGTGTTGCACATCATGACAGAATTAAAGTTTTCTTTTTCATTAAACAAGACAATAATAGAACTATACTTATCAATGGATTTTTTTTTACCTTTCTGCTGCCTGCTTCTATTAGTGTAAATGTGTAATTGGTCACTCTCTGAGGTCTGGGGGCTACAAAACCCATAGTAGTGATATGGGGATTGGGGGGACTAATGAGTAATGACTTTCCACCGGTTTTTATATTTGGAGGATCAGGACCTAGCATTAACAGCATCACCTAACCTTGAGCATTATTTGTTTGTATACTTGTTGATTAATTCTCAGACCAAGAAAAGAATAACAGATTCTGTGTATCCCAACTTCTTGATCCCAAATTTTTAGAGCAAATTTGGATTATTAAATTAAAACGTAACATATCCAACCTTTTCCTAACCTCAGGTTTCTATGATTAAATTTTTAACATGTTCTTTTAAGATAAAAAACTTATACTTGAACGAATTCCATACCATACTCTTTCCATTTTCTGCATATGGGTCTTGACTTGTTTTATTTATTTGTTTCTTTGGGACTGAAAGAAGAGTGGGTGAGTAGTTATACAGAGTTCTCCCTTCAAAATTTTAATTTTTGACCATCTTTTAGAGTTAAAAACAAATCCCTTTATTTAGTTTTGAGTTTCCTGAATTCCATTGTTAGCAGAAGAAATGTATGAACAACAAAGCTATGAAGCCAATAAGCTCCCAGACCAGAATTCCTACACAACCAAGTACCCAGACAAAAGAGGATCAAGTAGAGAAAAACACCAAGAAAGCTCGGAAATAAAAGTGATGTTTTGGTGTATTGTCGAAGTTACCCATTGTTAATAGAGGAAATATACCGGCAGGATGCTTGACGTGAACAACAAAGCTTGGAAGCCAATAAGTCTCCCAAATATTCCTACACAACTCAGTATCCCAGCGGCATCTATCAATTGAATAATCAGATTAACTTCTAGAATTTCTGGAAATGGTCAGACAAAAGAGGATAACTAGAAAAAGAAAACTTAGAATTAAAAATAAGGGATGATACGTTGGTGTATTGTCAAAATCACCAAGATTTGCTTTTGAAAACACATTTCTAAGACGTTTAGACTTACATGTTCTAGTTGGGTTATTAGAAAAAATTTGTTGTTTCAATTTTCAAACTTTCAATACCTACGAGTCATATTCAGAAGATAGAAAATCCAACAAAGATCTCATGCATGCAAATAGGTGGAGTACAGCGTTACATGGATTCGATCTAGCTAAAGTACTGAAAGCTCCACAATATCCCAAATCTTATGTGACAGGACGCAACCTCATATAAGTTGGGTTAAGGCTTATGATGAATTAGGGTTGTCAATGGAATTTGCAAGTTCAACACCCAAATCTAAATTCAACCCGATTATTTTGGATTCAGATCATCTGTTTACATAACTGGTAGATTGATTTGTTTACGTTCAATTCAATTAAAGTTTGATACTGTTTAAATTTTATAATATACATATTATATAACTATATGGATAATAATACAATTATATAAAATTTTTAATTAATAATTTCATTTTTATATTTATTTAAATTTATTTTATAATATAATGATTGTTTTTTATTTTTAATTCTTTCTTATTTTTAAAATATGAAAATTAAGGACTCTGATTCAAAATCCATTCTGAGACCCTAGGTCAAATCGGATTTCGGATTGAATTTAAATCTTAAACAATGGGATCGGGTTAAACAATTGAATTGACAAATGGGATGTTTTGTTGGGGGGTAAGCACAGATAAGGCCATGTTTGAGAGTTCTTAAAAATAAGTGTTTATTCAAAATAAGTGCTTATTTGAGCGGAGACTACATTAAGCATTTATTGGTGTTGGAAAATAAGCTCGAAATAAGGGCTTAATTTTTAATCCCAAATTTCCAGTTTTTTTTTTAAGTGCTCATACAATAAGCACTTATTCAATTTTTTCTTCCAAAATTGTCCCTAGTAAATTTTTAAAATACCAATTATATCCTTTTACAAAAGCAATTTTACAAAGGCACTTTTATAAAAGTAATTTTATGAAAAGTACTTTTATGAAAGCATTTTTAGAAAAGTACTTTTATGAAAGTACTTTTACATAAAAACACTTATAAAAGTACTTTTATGAAAGTACTTTTATGAAAACACTTTTATGAAAGCATCTTTACAAAAACGCTTTTACAAAAGTACTTCTATGGAAGTACTTTTATGAAAATACTCTTCTAAAAGTACTTTACAAAAGCATTTTTATGAATATACTTTTACAAAAGCACTTTTAGGAAAGTACTTTTATAAAAGAACTTTTATGGAAGCACTTTTATAAAAGCACTTTTATGGAAGTACATTTATAAAAGCACTTTTATAAAATTATTTTACGGATCAAAGTGCTTTGATGAAAGCACTTTTATAAAAGTACTTTTGTAAAATCACTTCTATCAGAGTACTTTTATTCATTAACTTTGGATTGGATATATTGAAACTTTGAAGGAAAATGAAGGACAAAAGAGTCACAATTGCTTGTTTAAGTGCTTATTAGAGAAAAAGACCACCAAATGCCATATATAAAATAAGTGCTTATTTTGAAAAAAATGGGTGCCAAATACAAATAAGTGCTTATTCAAATAAGTACTTGTTTTTAAGCACTTATTTTAAACATAAACACTCCCAAACATGGCCTAAGATCCATTAGACAAACAAAAGAGCTAGCACCGCCTTGATTTGGTAAATGGTTAAAATCACACAGATTGCTTTCAAAATGGTTTGAGGCCTTGAATCCTTGACCCCCTTCGAGAGTGCCATGCTCCTGTTCTTCATTAAATCAAATCAAATCACAAGTTAAAATAATAACAGAAAGAGTACCGGGTTGACATGAACGTCTATACATTAAGTTCTAGTTTGTTTCATGGATTTTAGTAGGGGGAAAGTTGGGCAATGGAATTGTGATCCCATTGACCAATTCTCCCACATTTCTTTTTAGGACTTAGGTGAGACCTACGGTAAATATGTTTTTCTTGGGTATCACGTCTTACTCTTTTTCCACTTGGGAAAGTCAAATTTTCTGTGTGGAGAGTAAATACTCAAAATATAATATCCCAAAAATATCCATTAAAACAATATAATCCAAAAAGCATGAACTTGTGCCTAAGGGTAAAATCGACAAAAAAAAACTAACCATTCACCGAGACAAAAGAATATGAGAAAATTGAAAGGCTTTTCTAGGTAAATTTAACAATAAAGAACATAGATAAGTGTAATTATCTAAACAGCCTCTTGGTAAATAATAAAGGCCTAAATAATTTTTTTAATTGCGCTTTTGTGGAATTATTTTTTTTCTTACAAACAGACAAATTTGCTACTATTGAGAAGAGGAAGAGAAGGAACGTGTCACAACTCACAAGTCACAAGGCAATTAATGCGTACAAGTCACGGTCTACACTATAATTAAAATTTAAAAGAAAAAAAATAAAGTCGAGGTGATGAGAATTGAATTATCGTTTGGAAGAGCCACACCAAAAACGACTTTTTGAGTTTTGTCTGTAGAATCACTGCAAAGAACAAGGAGAAAGAGGTCATCACCAACCTTTTGAAAAGCAAGTGGGGGTCCTGATTAACTTGTGAAACCAGAAGTTAATTATGGCTTGTATCACCAGTTCGTCCTATGAGAAATTCTTTTTTAAACGAAAGAAAAATATATAAAATACCCTCAACTTGTCCCAGCACCTACCTAGCCTTAAATTGTTTCAGAGAAAAGAGAGAGAGAAAGAATTGTAGTAGTAATTTTGAAATTGTCTACATTTTAGTAGCCTTAAATTGTTCTATGGGGATGTGCATATCAATTCCCAACTGAAATTATTATTAAGTGCTGATAGACAAACTGTAAACGAAGAAATTCATACCAAAATCTAGCATAAACAAGGGAATCCTGTTAGGAGAACATACGTATCCTCCCTCTCTCTCTCTCTCACACACACACAGAAAGTCAAAACACACACAGATAAACAAAGACAAAGGTTATGCTGTTTCTACTAGAAATGTTTAGCGTTCATCAAAATAAATATTTGAGGGATCATCTTGTTGTATCACATCAATTAATTAACCACTTCTATTAAAAAAATGTATGTATTAGATTTGTGTTAGCATTTCTAACAGGAACATCGAATTTCATTTTTCTTGTAGAATTTTATGTAAACAGCAACCTATTTTATCAAAAAATTGAATTGATAAACCCCAAATGTTTCTAATTGAAGCATCAATGATATAAAACACAATCAAAATAAGAGAAGCAAAGGGAAAGTTATTTTTTCAGATTGATCAAGAAATCTATGTTATTTTTTTAGATTTATGTAAGGATTAGAGAAAGTTTAATTTATTTTCCTAGATATCACTTATCCAGATAAGACTTACCGAAAATCAAAGGGGGCCTAAAAGTAAAGACTTGGGGGTCTTTCCAATCCAAGTCAAAAGTACTCACTGTAGATCTTTTACCCACCAAAGAAAATGTTAGACCTGATACATTTTATGCATTTCTTG